AGAGGTTTTCCAGTAAGACTCGTTCCCCTCAAGCTCTCTACTCCATTGTGAAGTCCTGTAGTGTATTGGTTAGAACGCTCATCTTGTGAAACCAAACCTGGATTTGATTCCCGTACAGACCGAACCTTACACTAGTTTCCTTACTCCACACCCCTCTGTTTACCTAGCAGTAAGTAGGAACCTGGTTGCTAGTTGATTGGCGAATCGTTTTTTCCCCTGGTAATAATCCCCTCGAATCAATAAATGAATAAAAATAACAATTTGGTCACTTCAATCCATGACCGTTTGTGGGATGCTGCTGTTCCCAATTGGCTGCCTCGTTTCGCCCACAAAATACACATCAATTCCCCTACCGTATATCTTGTGAAGCGCTTTGAGACTTCTCGAAGACATGATAAGGCCCTCTATCAAATAAAAGAATTATTATTATTATTATTAAGAATTGACCTTCAGATCACTTCTCCATCTCGCCCCTCCCTACCTGTGCAACCTCCTCCAGCCCTAACCTCCTACCCATGAATAACTTATTTTGACTTGTAATCAAATGTAGTCACCTACTTTTCAGAGGAGGCGTCAAGCTGAGGTCCTGCCTGGCTGTTCAGGTGGACATGAAAGATCCTATTGGGACAACTTGATAAAAGAAGTGAGTTTCTCTCAATGCCATCAGCCATCAATCCCCCAGATAAAATTGGTCACTCACCTGTTTGTGCCACATTGCTGCACGTAACGTGACTCCCATGTTTGCCTGCAAAATACACAGTCACTACACTTTACAGTGTATCCTGGTGAAGTGCTTTTGAGACTTCCTCCCATTGTGAAAGGCGCCATGCCAAATGTAAGGATTATTAATATAATTACTCTATGATTCCATGATTCCTAAATGAATAGAATAATCTGCACCACTGAACAGCAGTGATAATTCATAATTTTGCAAACAAGTTGCATTATTTTTGATACAGAAAAAAAATAATCTGCTCACAAAAGATGAATGACTGACTGACCTAGAAGTACAGGGCAGCTTGGTCAGGGCAGATTTATATCTGAACACTGAAGCAGAAGCTATTAACGATTCTGTGAGCAGATTGCACTCTGTACAATCCCATCCCCCGCTGCTCAGTTATTTATGAAAGAAACTATTTCTTGCCACATTCATCCACATGGAACTCCGCCTGAATCTCTAATTAAAAAAGGATCCAATCACTGTCTGAACAAGTACAAGGCGTGGAGTCCTGTGGTGTATTGGTTAGAGCACGCGCCTCGCAAGCGAGAGGACCTGGGTTCGATTCCTGGGCGGGGTGAAACATTAGGCAGGTTTCCTTACTCCACATGTCTCTGGTTACCTAGCAGTAGGAACCCGGTTGTTAGTTGATTGGCGGATTACTTATCCTGGGGTAATAATCCCTTCAAAAATAATTAAATAAATAAAATAATAATTTGGTCACTCAATCCACGCCTGTTTGTATGGGACATTGCTGTGCGCAATTGGCTGCCGTGTTTCGCCCACAAAATATACAGTCAATTCACTTTACAGTATATTCAGTGAAGCGCTTTGAGACGTCTTGAAGACGTGATACGGCGCTATATCAAATGCAAGTATTATTATTATTATTATTATTAAGGCAGCTCACACATCAATACCGTAAGAGAACTGCAAATAGATCAAGAATTCTTCCGCTCGCTCCATTCAAGGACAGTTCGGGATTATTAAAGACAACAAGAGGTGTCACAAGATTTTGTTCCAAATCCTGAGGTTGGTTCTCATGACACGATATCAGACTGGCTCCATGTTCTGGGTGGTTTGGGGTGTGTTACGAAATCCAATATTAGGATTAATTCGATGACAGTTTGATATTAAAACCATTACTGTCAAATATATTGATATAAATTCCGCTCCGTGAGCAAATCACCCCAATCTTTGTGCGGCTCCATCGATTCCCCATCTCCCAGAGAATCAAGTTCAAGAACCTCGTCCCCACTTTCAAAAGCCTCACGCTCTTGTCCCTACCCTACCCGCTCGCTCTCTCAGCTCGGGAAGCCCTGGCATTTTACACGTCCCCCGCTCCGCCTGCCCCATCATCAACAGTCAGGCCTTCAGCCTTTCTGTCCACACTTTGTGGAACTCCAGCCTGGAGTCCCTTCACCTTGCCCCCTCCCTTGTCCCCTTCAAGGCAAGTCTCAAGACCTTCCTCGGTCATCTTCTCTCCCACTCCACCCCCAAATCCAACCTCCAGCTGGGGCGCAAACCCTTGACTGTTCTGCACCTCAGGACCTTCAAAGTTGATGTTGGATTCAAAGTAATGTAGGTGGATGAATCAACAACAACCACAACAACAAAAACAACTTGCATTTATATAGCCCACTTTATGCCTTGTAACGTCACAGAGTGAATCATTTTAAATCATATTAAATATTAATATATTATATTAAATATTAAACAATATTAAAGATGTGGAATGACTTTAAGACTTTTCTGTTCGACCGTGCTTACAGCTACCTCCCCCCTCCCCCCGTCTCGGAGTCTGAAGTGCCTCTCATGTTGGGAAGACGTCTCAAACTACTTCACAGGATTACCTGTCAAATGGAGAGACTAATGGGTTTTGCTGGAAAACTTGACAATCAATTTACGTAAATCAATGTCCCAGAAACTGCCATTGAATGAGTGAATGATTTTTGCCTGGGGGATTGTCGGTCAGGACACCGGATGAAACTCCCTTTTCTTTGAGCAGTTTGATGGGACCTTTAATTCCCCAAACGAACAGATAGACAGTCGGTTTAACATCTCATCTGAAGAAATCCACTTTGAGATTGCAGATAAATGATCCTGTTGATAAAATTGGTCCTTCATTTCATCCCTGTTTGTGGGACTTGGAGTCCAAATTGGCTGCCACATTTGTCTACAAAGTACACACTCACTACACTTTACAGTAAATCCCGAGAAGCACTTTGAGGCACATCAACAACAACAACATACATTTGTATAGAGGCTTTCACATCAGGAGGACATCAGTCAGGGATTTTGGACCCGAGTAGGTGGTTGGGATAAGGAGGGGTGGAGGGCAGGGAGGGTAGGGATAGGAGAGTAACCGAAGGTGCGGTCGAAGAGGAGGGTCTTGAGACGGGCCTCGAAGGAGACGAGGGAGGGAGTGAATGGAAGGGACTGTGGAATGGAGCTCCAAAGAGTGGGGCAGAGAGGCTGAAGTACAACACCGTCAGGATTATCACCATCCTACTTGCCACCAGTCAGGTTAGAAGGCCGTGGACCCGGCTTCATGGACATCTCCACTAGGAAGGGCTTCACCTCTGCTACTTACCTCTTTCATATGAATCGCTTGCCTGTGTCGCTTTGTGTCCATCAGCAACCTTTCTAAATTTAGAAGAGCTGCTTTCTACCACCTCATTTATAAATAGCATGAACAGCAGATGACTTGAAATAGATTCCCCACATCACCCTCCCAGAGGAACCCTGTCTGACAGAGCTTTCCCCCTTTGTTACCGGCTTATTTATCTCATTGCTCAGGGTCTTTCTGTCAGCAATTCTGCTCGGCTCAAACGGACCCTCTTTAAACGTCTGAACACATCTGTGGGGGATTGTTGATTTCAAGAGTTCAAACCTGCATTTAATGTCTCATCTGAAAGATGACACCCTCTCCCCATCCCCCAACCCCCACCAGTGCATTGGAGGGTCAGCTTGGGCAATTTCAAACGCACTGGGGTGCAACTATGGAGAGGGACGGAGCTTTTGAAGTCTGAGTACTCCAGCCTTGTCCGCTAGGATTTATACCCATCTCCACAGACGACAAGTCACATTTCCAATTCCAGATGTGAGATTGAATATAGTGGATTTCAGTTTCACACCAGCAATACAAACTGACCTACTGACCTGTGTGGGTTCACTGCCTGACCCTATTTCCTTAGACATCCAATCCATTCTGGGTTAACAGTGTAATCTTATTAATTGTTAATCTGTTGATAAATTCGATCGTCAAAGTCGATTATTGACTACACCAACGCTCTGCTCGCCAGACACCCCAGCTCTTCCCTAGACAAGCTGCAGACCATTCAAAACTCCGCTACTATGTCCCCAACCACCCGAGGCTCCTCTCCCCTTCTTCATTCAGCTCCACTGGCTCCCCATCCCCCAGTGGATCGAATTCAAGATCCTTGTTCTCACCTTTAAATCCCTCCACCATCTCACCCCCCTTCCCCCCCCATTCTCCATGCTCTCATCCTCAGCTGGAGTGCCCATCCGGGAATTGAACCCAGGTCCTCTGGCTTGTGAGGCTTCCACACAATCCCTCTCACCCCAAATTCAGATTATATTTCCAATCTGTTGCTCCAAATTAACAAATTTGCAAATAATAAATACTTACATTTGATACAGCGCCTCTCACGTCAGGAGGACATCTCAAAGCACTTCACAGGATTTTATTGTGAAGTGTAGTGACTGTGTATTTGTGGACAAAGGCGACAGCAATGTCCCACAAGCAACCATGAAGTGAACGAGATCTTTATTATTTGGAGGGATTAGTGGGCAGGACACTGGGAGCAACTCCCTTCTCTTTTCAAGTAAGATCTTTAACATTTTTCGGAAGGGACATTAAACCAAAGTCCCGTCTGCTTGTTCATGCGGACGTTAAAGATCCTGAGGCACTATTTGAAAAGAGAAAAGAGAAGGCAGTTTCTCTCTCCTGGTGGCCTGGCCAACAATTCCTCAAATAAAATTGATCGCTCACTCTACGGCTATTTGTGGGACATTGCTGTGCACGACTGGCTGCTGCGTTTCACCCACAAAATACACAGTCAATCCACTTTACAGTATATCCTGTGAAACACTTTGAGATGTCTCGATGACGAGATGAGGTGTTGTACCAAATGGAAGGATTATTCTTATTCTTATTATTTAACATCCACCTGAAGGAGTACAGAAGGCAACTCAGTTTAACATCTCATCTGAAGGACCCTCACAAAAGCAAATGCAAAAGAGTCAGCCATTGACTTACCTGTCGGCTGCTCGTCAATCCAGGCGTGAAGGTACATGAAGAGCAGCAGCCCCGCGACTCCGAACGACAGGATGGACAGGAAGACGTGCCTCAGCTTCATGTCCTTCCTGCACTTCAGGCTTCCCGTCGTCTCCTTGTAATTACACGACGCTCTCAACATTGTTCATTCAGCCCACGATACAGCCTCTCACTTTTCATTCACTCGCTCCTCGTGCTCGGCAACTCTGGAGAGTGGGGGAGAGAGAGAGAGAGAGAGAGTTAGGGATGCAAGAATACCTCCCAATGAAAAAAACTAATCTCCATTTTGTTTTGGGTGTCTGACACACGCAGAAACCCATCCTCACACCCAGACAGAGTTCCATGCATACCATCTACAACAGTGGAATTCTCATCCATTGGAATGGAATGCACATTCTCCCTCTCCCCTGAGGGATGCACTCTGCTTACTTAGTTCTGGAGAGTGTTAGGTGTAGGTTTGATGAGAGCCAAGCCTTTGGGCTTGCAAGCTGCCATCACAAGCAAAGTTTGACTTTGGCATTAATTCTGGAAAGCATTTTAATACAAGGATCAATTATGAATTGCTTGCTGAAACTTTTATCTATGTGAAGCCCACATAGACAATGTGAGCAAGGACATGGGCAGAAAGGGGCATCTGGGTCCATCACCTCTACTTCGACTAACAGCTCAACAGTGTGAAGTCCTGCAGCGTATTGGTTAGAGCACTCGCCTCGCAAGCGAGAGGACCCGGGTTCGATTCCCGGGCAGGGCACAACGTTAGGCAAGTTTCCTTAGTCCACACCTCTGTGTACCTACCAGTAAGTAGGAACCCAGTTGTTAAGGGTAGATTGGCGGATCACTTTTCCAAGGATCGTATTCCCTTAAAAAAAGAATTAAGTAATAATAATTTAGTCATTGAATCCACGACTGATTGTGGGACACTTCTATGCGCAATTGGCTGCTGTGTTTCGCCCACAAAATATAAACAGTCAATTCACTTTATAGTATATTCTGTGAAGTGCTTTGAAATGTCTTAATAAGGAACTATATCAAATGCAAGGATTATTATTGCTATCAGGTCAAGTTAGCTAGCTGGCCTAAAGCTACAGAATATCCCGTAAAGAGCTTTAAGACTGCAGGAAATGGGACTTTTTCCACTGGAACAAAGAAGGTTGAGGGGGTGACCTGATAGAAGTCTTTAACATTATGAGGAGATTTAATAGAGTCAATAGGGAAAAAAAAATTGCATTGGTTGGCAACTCAGGGATAATTTAAGATAATTAGCAAACGAATAAATGAGGGAGATTAGGGGAAATGTTTTCACACTAGAGTGGCGAGGATATGGAATGTCCTTTAGGGAGCAGTGAATGAGTCAGAATCCGTAATAACTTTCAATAGGGGAGTAGATAAATAAACAGGCGTAAACTCCAGGGGTATGCGGAAAAAAAGTCACGTAAATGGAACTGAGGATTGCTCTTAAAAGAGTCAGCATAGACATGACAGGCCGAATGGCCTTCCTCCGTGCAGTAAACTTCTATGGATCTATGGAGACATCCGCTGATGTGAAAGGCAAATGCAAGGATTATTATTTCTGTTAAATTTCCTTTCACAAACCTGAACCTGTGACCTCTTGTTATATTGCATTGGCATATCTGAAAAGCATTAACAATAATAATCCTTGCGTTTGATATAGCGCCTTATCGCTTCGTTGCGACATCTCAAAGCGCTTCACCGAATATACTGCAAAGTGAATTGACTGTATATTTTCTGGGAAAAGCACAGCAGCCAATAGCACACAGCAGTGTACGACAAACAGTCATAGATTGACTGACCAAATTATTATTTTTTTGTTTTGGATCCGAGAGAGGATGAGTCATAGTTTTGCGGAGCCTGTGTGGGAGAGGATATGGTAGTCTGAGGCAGCCCGACCTACCACAGAATACATTTGCTTCCTACACTGTGAGAAAAACACACAGAAAGCTGAATTCCCAGAGACAGATGCGCTGCAGCGGGAGGAGAGTAAACAAAGGAGAGAGGTGAGCAAACAACAGCTGAATAATATTCCTCGCACTTGATATCATGCCTTTCACGTCAGGAGGGCACTTCAGAAACGCTTCACAGGACTTCACTGTAAAATGCCTTGACCACGTGCCTTTGGAGGCAGCAGTTGTTCGTGACTGGTTGTGGGGATGTTGCTGTGTACAAATTGGTTCCCCTACAAATCCAACAACTTGCATGTTAAGCACTCTGAGATGCTACTCTGCGTACAAAAAATACAAAATTCGCAGTGAAAGCGCTTTGAGACACAAAAAGGCATTCTGTTAATTAGAGCATTATGGTTATGCATTATTATTGGACTTGGAAAGACAATCCTTTCTCCCAAGTTAAATCTGCACAGATGTTTTGACAGGAGAAGTTTTATATCTGCTGCACAGGTCCGAGATTTCCCCCAAAATAATTACATTTGTTGCGTGTGGTGAGTCAGCCCTCGCAATGTGAGTGCACAAGGCTTGTAAAAATATTCATTTGCTTTTAATTGTTTGTTTTGTTCTTGCCAGCAACAGATTACTAATCCACTGAGGGTTTATACATTGAATTAGTAATCGGTTGAATCCTTCCGATCAGACCCGAAACCGAAGTCTGGTCTGCCTGTTAAGGTGGACGTTAAACATCCCATTACACTGTTCGAAAAGAGAACGGAGTTTCTCCCAGGGTCCTGGCCAATAATCCCCAAATAAAATTGGTCACCCACTCTTGTCCCACAAGAGCTCTGGAATGCTATCCCGCCTGAAGGGCACTATATAAAAGCAAATCTGCCCAGAAAATACACAGTCACTCCAATTTACAGTGTATTCTGTGAAGTGCTTTGCTACGTCTAGAAGATATGAAAAGTCACGAGATCAAATGCAAGGATTATTATTATTATTATTCTGTGAGAATTTTGGGGTGTCTCCATGATTTGATAAGGCGCTATATCAAATGCAAGAATTAATAATAATAATAATAATCCTTGCATTTGATATAGCGCTTTTCACGTCGGAAGGATGTCCCAAAGCGCTTCACAGAACACACTGTAAAGTGAATTGACTGTAGATTTATGGGCGAATGCGGCAGCCAATTGCGCACAGCAATGTCCCACAAACAGTCGTAGATTGAAAATGACCAATTTATTATTGTTTTTGGAGGGATTATTATTAGGCTGTGGAGTAAGGAAACTTGCCCAAGGTTTCGCCCTGCCTGGAATTGAACTCAGGTCTCTCACTTGCAAAGCGAGTGCTCTAACCACTGAGCTACAGCCACTGAAGTTGTGATTAATAATAATAATTCCAAACTATTTACACACACTAGAAAATATTCTGGGCTAGGGGAGGGGAGGGGAGGGCGGAAAAGAAATGTTCAACAAAATAGGAGCGTGCTACATATCAGCCTGGAATTTTAGGGTTAGGGAACATTGTAATGTTCAACATACAGTAAACTGATGATTACTCAATTCTGGATTAACTGTATACTGCCACTTATATCAATATAATAATAATAATCCTTGCATTTGATTTAGCGCTTTTCACGTCGGGAGGACGTCCCAAAGCGCTTCACTGAACACACTGTAAAGTGAATTGACTGTATATTTGTGGGCGAACGCGGCAGCCAATTGCGCACAGCAATGTCCCACAAACAGTCGTAGATTGAAAATGACCAATTTTTTATTATTGTTTTTGGTTTTTGGAGGGATTATTATTAGGCTCTGTGTGGAGTAAGCAAACTTGCCCAAGGTTTCGCCCTCTGCCTGGAATTGAACTCAGATCTCTCACTTGCAAAGCGAGTGCTCTAACCACTGAGCTACAGGAATATCCCAGCTGCATTTATTTATGTATTTATATATATGCCTAACCTGCCACTCCGGAAAACTCGTCACTGAGCACTTTTCCCTTGGAATGACGAGTTATCAATTTACGGCACACAGTAACTTAATAATAATACTAGCATTGATATAGCATCTTGTCATGTTGTTGAGACATCTCAAAGCACTTCACAGAATGTATTGTAAAGTGAATTGTCTGTATACTTTGTGGGTGAAACACAGCAGCCAATTGCACGCAGCAGTGTCCCACAAACAGTCGGGAATTGAGTGACCTAATTATTTACTTATTTTCATTACCTCCAGAAAGCGATTCAGCAATCAACGAACAACCGGGTTCATAGAATCATAGAATTATACAGCACGGAAGGAGCCATCATGTCTGTGCCGGCTCTTTGAAAAGAGCTGCCCAAATCAATCCCACTCCCCTGCGCTCTCCCCATAGCCCTGCAAACTTGTCCTCCCCAAATAATTATCTACTTCTCTCTTAAAAGTTGTAATCGAATCGGCTTCCACCACCCTTTCAGACAATGCATTCCAGAACCGTACAAGTCGCTGGGTGAAAAAANTTCTCCTCACCGCCCCTCTGTGTTTTTTAATAACTAATTTAAATCAGTGTCCTCGGGTTACCGACCCACCCACCAGTGGAAATCATTTCTCCTTGTTCACCCTATCGAATCCCCTCATAATTTTGAAAATTTCTACTAAGTCTCCTCTTAACCTTCTCTGTTCCAAGGAGACTAACCCGAGCTTCTCTCGCCTCTCCTGATAACTGAAATCCCTCATTCCTGTTACCATCCTGGTAAATCTCCTTTGCACTCTCTCCAATGCCTTGAATTCCTGAAGTATGGGGCACAGACTTACTGCTCGGTAGACTTACTGCTAAGTAAGTCTGGACACCACACTGCTACTTACTGTTCGTACTTACTTCTGGGTAAACAGGTGTGTGGAGTAAGGAAACTTGCCTAAGGTTTTGCCCTGCCCAGGAATCGAACCCAGGTTCCTTTGCTTGCTGCATTTATTTAGTGCCCCTTTCAAGGAGGATAGCATCTTGGAGCTCTGCACACACATTACACACACACACACAAGTAAAGCAGGTCATGTACTAGGCAGGAGCCATCGGGGAATGAGTCAGCAGTGCTCAGCAGCAAGGTGTTAGGTGCTGGAGATGGCTGCCTTCACTTCCTTGTAACGTGGTTTGATTGTGTATTTTGCAGGATAAAACACGGCAGCCAACTGCGCACAGCAATGTCCCACAAGAAGCCGTGCAGTGAGTGATCTTTAATGCCCACCCGAACAGGCAGGACTTAGGTTTAACATCTCACTTGAAGGACAGCACCTCTGACAATGCAACATACCCCGAGCTTTGCA